GGTGGCCCCTCCCATGAACTGGGAGCAAGTGTGACAATACAGACTCAGAAAGATCTACTGTTTTCTCACGGCAAAAAGGAAGTCACTTAGAAGGTAGCGATAGTCTGGGTTGTGGTGTCTGTCACCTTTGATGTGATCTGGACCACATCAAGACCCTCCCAACCCCTACCCCACCTGAGGATCTTTACCCAGAAACTTTGCCTTCTGAGGACACTTCTTTATCCAAAAGGTCACATCTCAACCTTCACAGTAAAGGAGTTCTTTCTTTCCCATCTCATCTAGGGCTATGGTTTGTGCTGGCTCATCAAGTGCACGGGATGTGGCAAGTGGTTTTGTTTGGGGTAGGTAAGGGGGCTGCTGCTGAATCACTCACAGGGCCTCTGCTATATGAGTGTATACACTTTCTGTTTTTCTAAAAACATCAGGGCCGATATAACAAATATTGTGTTTAGAAATTCTAATTCACACTTCCAGTCTTGCTACAACATCTCAATGTAAATGCTCCCTGTATGAAGTCCTCTGTTTCTGACCAAGGGCCAGGAAGCAGCCACAGAACTTACGTGACCAGGACAGGAGAGCTGGACCATTCCAGCCAGTCCCTCAGAGTCTGTCTGTGGGCAATCAGGCCTTGCAGAAGCTGCTGGGCTCTGAGAGCCTTTCCACCGGAATGATGACAGGATGACACCTCTGATACCAGTGACCTGAGACCCCAGAGTTGGGGTGACCACCCGGAGCAGGAACTCCATGTTCACCTTTGAAACATTTTCTCATTTTCATTCACACCATCATGTTATCCCTGCCAACCTTTCGTGGGAACTGTCTTCTCCTTGCTCAGTCATTTGCCCGAATCTCCACGATGAGACTGCAAATGTTTTTTTGTTTTAGGTTTCTAAGCCTGGGAAACTGAGGCTCCATCTGTTACTGGCCATGTTTAATTCCAAGGCACTGAACTTAACCTTGAACTTCAAGAGCACATCAACTTTCTGAGGAAGCAAACAGTGTACAAAAAACAGCAGGAAATATTCATCCCCCTCTCTGTCCCTGTCACGTCCTCTGTGCCCGCTCTAGAAGCACAGAGGTGCCTCATCAGCACCCGACAGAGCACCCGGACAGCAGGTGCGGGGTGCCGTCAGGCAGCCCCCTCTCTCCAGGACACACAGCCCGGGCTCCTCCGCTGTTGTAAGGAAGTTGGGAGTCCACTCACCTCCCCTCAATGCTCTCCAGAGGAAGCTCTCCTCAGAGCTCAAGTCCAGGGCCCCCTAGACTGGGTCTCACGTGAACTTTTCTCACCTCATGCCAGCTCACCTGTCAGGTAAGGAAGTGGATGGGACCAGAGGGGCGGGTCCACCTCACCTCACTCTACATGAGTAGGCCCCTTCTAGCCAAGCAGGGCTGCAAATATGTTTCCAGAGGCAACGCTCAAATATTCCCCTTGCGTCCACCTTCTCCTGGACAGAGCCGGTTACAGAGGACGTGCAGGGTGCCCAGGTGGGGGCACTTAGCTGAATGAGAGGTGCTCTCTCCTTGCATAGAAGACCAGGTTCCCAGCAGGTTTACACAGCTGTCCATTTCCCCAGGACATCGGTGCCCTGAGAGGAAGACTCTGGCTTCTCTCTGTTTCGCTAGTTGTGAATTCTCCAAGCAGTGGAGAGCCAGACTCTGTCCCTTTGGATCACCTGCAGGAGACGGTGTGAGGAGCCCGCGTGAGGAGCCGGCGTCATCCTGCGGCTGGAGGCAGAGCACGCGCCAGGCAGCTGATGTGGTCTCCCGCCCCCTCACTCTGCCCTCACTCGGCCTCCAGGCTCTGTGCCCAGCGTGTCGCCCAGGACCCAGGGACGTCCTGCTGACAAGGCGGCGTAAGGCCTGGACGGGGACACACGGTCGCTTGTGTTTCTGTCCGACTCTCACCCGTGGCAGAGACCGGAGAGCGGGCCAGTTCGCGGGCTGGCTGAGGGCCATGGGGACTTACAACTGAAGGCGCTCAGGGAGTCCCGTTGGGGAGAGGGGGAAGTGCTGGGGTGGAGGGCGCAGGTGGGGGCCGGGCTAGGGAGTGGACTCAGTGCCTGCCCTGCACACCACCCCTCATGGCGACGGGTAACTCTGATGTCCTGTGGATTCACCGCAGTAAAAGGTGGCCCAATGACAGACTCGTCTGTAACACATCGGAGCTAAGCTCTCGTGGGTGAGAAGTTGCTGGAGAAGTGGGCAGTGACTTCCTGGGCTCCTCACACCTGTGGGAGCAACTTCTCTTCCAGGCTCTGGGGTCTCTTCAAGGAGAAGAACACTGCCAGCCTGCTTCACCCCCAGGCAGACCCGGCCCTCCCCCTGTGAGTGACCTGAAGTGGCTGCTGAGGGGCATCTCCAGAGGCAGCTGGAATGAGGGGGAGCTTTGCAGGAGAGGAGGGCTGGACCCTGCCCATCTCAAGCTCCTTTGCCCTGTTTTGGGTTCCCTGAGCTCTCTGGTGTCTGCACTAATGGTTTGCTGTTTGTGTCTACTAGGTTGAGGTATTTTCAGCCATCGTATCTTCAATCACTTTCCGCTCTGTTGTCTCTGTCCTATTCCCTGGGAACTCAGTGCACATTGATGCACCTCATGTCCCACCTCCCTGAGGGTTTGCTCTGGTTCCTTTCCTCTTTATTCTCCCAGAAGTTCAGTTTTACTCATAAAGACAGCACAGAGCGACACCCAGCTCAGGGCAGGAGTCTCTGCCCCAGGTGAGAGCAGCTGAGCATGAGCTTGTGGGAGGTGGTGAGTATAGGGCTCAGTGAGTAGCACCCCAATAGCTCAAAGAAAAATTTCTATCAGAAAACTTGAGAGCACTGCGCATATAGATAGGATGAGCAATGGAGATCATGAAGCCCTCATGGTTTATGCGATAATTTATTGACAGGTCATCCCCCACTATGCTGACTGAAAGTTATATTCTGTCATTATTTGTTTCCTGAGAACCCCAAATGTTATTTACTAGATCCTGTGACAGTACCCGAAGCCGGGCTCCTGGGCCTGCCCCCCACATGGATTCAAGCCCCCCTGCTTGCCAAGCCCTCTTCCCAGGCTCCTGTTTCACTTACTCTCATCTACATCCCACCTCCACTTTCAAAATCACTCTCATCACCCAACCCCAGTTCAGTTTTGGTTAACTGAACTGACTAAAACCTGGGGAACAAGCCGCTTTCCGTTCTCTGCCACGTGTAAGAGTTGGACAGAAACACAAGTGTTGCCATGGGTCCCCATCTTAGGACTTACTAGACTTTGACTATGTGTTTCAGAAGACATCAGTGCTAGTATATTTGATTAATACGAGAGGGGGAAAGAAACAAAAACTGAAACACTTGGGCTATCACCAAAGAAGCACCACAAGAGTCAGATGAGTAGATAGTTGCTGCTTAAGCAGCAGACGGGGTCACCTGGTTAACCACAAGGTCAGCATGTTGGGGTCGCCTTCAGCCTTCGGAGGGCCCCACACGGTAAGGGGACAGCACTCGGGCTAGTCAGTCCCTAGTTCTCAAAGCCCCTTCCTCTCTTAAAGAGTCAGGTTTCTCCTCAGAATGTGTCCTCACCTCCCCCCACCCCCAATGCCTTAGGACTGTGCACTTCAGCACCCTCAGTTCACAGACCTTTCTGTGTGAACCCATGACATGTGCGTGGATAGCTGGTGCTTGCAAATCAACACAACCAGGAAGTCCGTGGTCTCTGAGTGTTCCCCTCTGACTTCACCTCCACTATTTAAAACCTAAGGAGAGAATTAGGCCCCACAGCAGACTTGATCACCCTTTTAAGAAAGATGCTGCCCGTCCTGTTCTTGTTGGCCAGTGCCCTGCGCTATGGGGTTGAAGGAGGTAAGTGACCCTCTCCTCACCTCACCTCCACACACAGGCTTGGTCCACTTGTGATTCTCCATAGTGTCCACCGAGGCTCACGTGAGCCTTGCCACAGTCTAACCCAAGAATTGTTGAAACCAACACCTGTCTCTGCACATGTAGGCACAGACATCCTAGAGAAGGAAGCTACCCCCAAGAGCCCTGGGGTGTCATCTCCCTCTGGGGCTCTCACACCTGTCCCCTGAAAAGGGACTTGGTATTAGGATGGTGCAGGTGCTTGTGGATGCAGAAGGCTGAAATTCAGAAAATTTTTCTTCTTGCAAAGTTGTCTATCACCAGAGCCGTCATGCAGATCAAGATGAGAAGGCTATCTCGTGCTAAGTGTTACCATGTGCTTTCCTGTTTGTCCCAGGCTGCTGGCCACTGAGCTCTACCCAGCCAAACCCCGAACCTCACTGAGCCATGAGAGTGTGGCCCTGTGGCCCTGTGGCCCAGGCACTGGTGGCCCCTGGCTCCCACGCCCGGTTCCCCATCCACTCTGGTTCCCAGTCCTTTCTACTTGCCCTCTGGTACCCGAGGCAGTGCGAAAGACAGACAAAGCTGTGCTGAGGTCTGGGGCCTTTGGGGCCCACCGATCTGATAAAAGCATATTTGGGCACTGCTCCTTATGTCTCCAGCAGCCCTTCGGGGTATTTACGACATGCCTGATTCAGGATGGGGATAAGAAAATCTGCGATTTTGCAGCACAGGTGTGTGTGACTAGAGGAAGCCTGGAGTAGGCAGGACACAGGGGCCGGAGACATTTGAAAGAGAGAAACTACTTTCAGGTTTTCTGATTGTTCTACCTAGAACACAGATCCTTTTCCTCAACATGTGTTAGAAGGCTCTGATTCACCATAGGGTTATATTCCTCTCTCTACAAAGGAAACTGAAAACTAGGCAAGGAAATAATCACACTGCACTCATGCTGCCCAGGAAGCCGTAAGTCTGCACCCCACGGTGATGGGTCCCTGAAGCCCTCCCTGGTGCACGATCCCATTTGTTGTTTTAGGCCATCAGACAGTTCCTGTCCTCTTTGTTTATTTTCACCATGGACAAGGAGATCAGGAAATTTTTGTTTGTTTATTTCAGGAGAGATCTACTGTGGCACAGAAGCCAAACCACACTCCCGCCCCTACATGGCACTTATAGAGTTCTATGATGACCAACGAGGTAATAGGTACAGATGTGGGGGTTTCCTGGTACGGGACAACTTCGTGATGACAGCAGCTCACTGCCTTGGCAGGTGAGAACAAAGGGGGCCTTGTTTCCTGGGTGGTGCAACACGGCCCCAGGCAGTTCAGGAAGGTTCCTGAGCCCTCGGGCACCTAGAGGAGCCAGTGACCTGTGCCCCGACAGAGCAAGGGTGGGGCGGCCTGGAGCCCCAGGGGAGGCTGCTGAGGCCCTGCACAGCCTGGGTCACCTCTGCACTGCAAGGAGGGGGCACCCAACCCCCCTTCCAATCTACTCAGCTGGGGGTCTATAGGCTGCGCTCCCACCTGCCCTCCAGAGGCTGCGCTGAAGCTCCTGACTCACATCCTCCCTGTATTACAGTAATATGACTGTCACGCTCGGAGCTCACAACATCAAAAAGAGGGAAAAAACCTGGCAGCTCATCCCTGTGCTCAGAGCCTTACCCCACCCGGACTTCAGTGCTAAGAAATTTATCAATGACATCATGCTGTTGAAGGTACTGTCCTGCTGACTTTCAGGGGCAACTGCACAAGATACGGGAGCGAGCACCCCACTATGGTGTGAGTCCTCCCTCCCACGGGATGCTCCTCCCGGGTCAGTGAACAAGGGGCTGGGGGAAGACTCCAGCGGGGAGGCGGGAGTGCAACGGGTCCAGGTCCCACTGCAGGCGGGACCTGACCTGCCTCTTCTCCTTTGTGACCAGCTGAAAAACAAGGCCCAACTCAACAGCAATGTACAGACAATTGCCCTGCCGCAAGAGCAGGACCAGGTGAAGCCGGGGCAGGTGTGCAGCGTGGCAGGCTGGGGGAAAATGGCTGATGGCAAATTTCCAGACACACTTCAGGAGGTGGATCTGGAAGTGCAGGATAAGCGAAAGTGCAGGAATCTTCTCTCGCGAAAATACAACAACTCCATCCAGCTCTGTGTGGGAAATCCTAAGTACAAGAAAGCCACTGGACGTGTAAGGAGACAATCCCCTTCCCATCTTGCCCCGGTGATTCAGTGATAGTGGGGTACATGACCTGGCTTCCCCCATTCTACATTCCATAGTGGACCAGGCTCCACTCGTGGGTGGAGGCACCTTCTTCCCAGCGTGGGGCACCCAGCTTTCCCCTCTCCCCCTTGGCCTTTGTCCTGGGGCAATAAGAAGGAGCCTGGGCCTGGGCTGAGCTGGGCGGGGCACAGCCAGCGTAGGCAGTGAGAGGGGGAGTCACACAGGCTTGGATACTGCTGGTTCCTTACAATCCAGCCTGGTGACTGATGACCATTCGGTCCCTTCCCTGGGACCCGGGAGCTCTGAGAGAGAGGCAGAAAGGGCAGAGGAGATGATGAAGCTGACAGGGGGGAGCCCAGGGCCATGACTGAGACGTGCACATTTTCTGTCCACAGGGGGACTCAGGGGGACCTTTAGTGTGTGACAGTGTGGCCCAGGGCATCGTCAGCTATGCTTACAAGCAGCCTCCCCGAATCTTCACCAAGATCTCCAGCTTCCTGCCCTGGATCCACAACACAATGAAACATGTGGCATAGACCTTTTTCATTTGCTTGAAGGGGTCACGGTACCTACCTCTGGCAGCCTCTTGGACCATCTCCCAGGAGGAACATCTGTGTTCTCTGTCTTCCTTGAGTATTTCTCGGCACACCAGTCATATACAAGGTTCCACTCCACTCTCTTTTCTCTCCCACTGCTCACCCAAAATCCCAATTGCGTTTTCTTCAAGGAAATAAAGCAAACATTACTGAAATTTGTGTGGTACCACAAAGACCCTGAATAAGCAAAGCAACTCTGAGAAAAAGAGTTTCCTTATTACATAAGGAAAGAAAAGGACATTTGTATGGACAAAGGCAGGCAGAAGAGCTGCTCTATAAGGGACAATTTTGCTAAAAGAGAGGCCTACGTAGACACAGGTGGGCAGGAGAGCAGCCAGGTCTGCATATTTCTTTTTAAGACAGCTGCCTTCACAAAGTCATTGATTTAGTTCATGTCTAAAGGATAGCCTTCCATTTTTTGGTTTTTTTTTTTTTAACTTTAATAGTGTCATAGTTTCATTGCACATGTCCTTCACTGATTTTGTTAAGTTTATCCCTAGGTACTTAATTCTTTCATATATTATTTTTCATTAAATATTTCTTAGCTTCCATCAAACCACCCAGGCCCACACCCCATTGGCTCCTTTCTCCACCCCTCCAAAATGCCTGGGGAATGAATGAAGGTTGGGAAGGCATTCTGATTAGTCAATAACCACAAACTTACAATTCATAGGTATAACCACAGGTTACTCCTGTGGAGTTGACCGTGTTGAAAGTACCAATGACTCTTCACAGTTACTGTAGCCACAATAAGAACCTCATGAGCAGAAGACCACTGGGGGTCCTGGATCAAAGACAGAGATGTTATTTCTTGCATGTTCTGAGCTAATGGGGAGCCACTGCCAGAACCTGGAGAAAGTCTCTCAGAGAAAGATTGTCATGTCATCCAGGTGGAGACAGACTTCTAGTCTGGGCAGTTCTTTCCTTCAAAACTGTGTAGACCTTTCTCCATGAGCACTGAGGATGAGCTGGTAAGTGGTGAAACCGATGCTATTTCCCATCTTGAGCAGTGAGATGCCCATTGGCCAAATAAACACACATACATGGTTATGAGCGAGGCGAGTTCTCTGAGGGGGAAAATGGCAGACCTTGACAGGTTAAGCTGACTCCTTCTGGGGGTGGGGAGAGAGCTTCCCGAGGAAGGACTATTTGCTGCCATACATCAAATGACTAAAGAGGAAAAGCGAATAATCTTGAGGAAGTCAAGTGCCTGAATTATGGGAATAATGAAGAATGCAGCTAAAAATTAGTTACTTCTTTTTTTTTTTTTTCAGAAAATCTGCATAACTCAAAAACAATAGGGAGAAATGGATAAATTGAAGTATTTGCAAATGTAAAGCTTCTACCTAACTAACCAAAGGCAACTTAACAGTGAAAAAAACAACATTGGGGTGGGAGATGAAATTTACAATTATCTGCTAAAAACCGGAGTCTAGGTTATATCAAAATTTTTTAAATCATTAAGAAAAACAAATGTAAAAAAATATGTAACTGAAGGGGACATGATAACTCACAGGAGAGTAAGTTCAAAGGACTAGTAAATATTTGCAATGTTAATGAACCTCACCAGTCTTCAGGGAAGTGGGCATGAAAGCCACTATGATTTACCATTTCCCACTAGTAGACAACAGAAACAATTAAGCCTCATAATACTGGATGCTGTGGGTGCATTAAGCAGAACAGTGAATGGTGAAGGATTGAGCAATATCACCGGGAAGGAACAGGACACGCACTGCAGGGCTGAAACAGCGTCACGGCATTTTGTTAGAAAGTTGAAGAGAAAATACAATAGATTCCCAGGCAGCGCCCCTCGCTGTGTGGTTTGCACGTTCTCCCTGGTATGGGGGGTTTTCTCCCTGCACCCAGCTACCTCCCACATCCCCCAAATGTGCACATAAGTTTCACTGGTGTGTCTAAATTAACACAGACTGGGGTGGGGGTGTGAGAGTGCACCCTGCAATGGGGGGCCATTCTCCCGGGCCTGTCCCCCTCCTTTGTGACTGGAGCTGCCCAGAGACGTTCTGGCCACCCTGGACATGGAACACTATAGTGGGCTGGAAAGTGAGTGAATGAGTGAGTGAGTATGAATTATTTAAAATCAGAAGGGCTGCGTGTCTTTATCTAGAAGTTTGGTGATGTTTTTGTGACCAGAGATATACTATAAGAATTTAACTTTTATTAATATTAATTATCTGGTGGCCAAATTTTGTAAAAGCCAGTAGAGTCACAATTTCCCAGAGTCTTCTCAGAACAACGAGGACATAATTACAGACTAGACATGGCCATTCCTGTTGAAGGAAGCACCTGGAGAAATCCTTGCACAGTGAACATGGTGGCATCCGGTCCTTTTTATTAACAAAACCTGGAAACCATTTACATTTCCCATGAAAGGACAACGTTACTTGCAAATATTGGAATCTGATTCAACCATAAATGAGTGAACTATACATACATGTATCAGTATAGATAAATATGAAAAAAAATTATCACTGTGTCTTTCACAAGTGTGTGTGCAAATACAAATATTGTTTAAGGTTGGAACAACTCTTTCAAACTGTAGAATAATAAAAAGTTTACAAAGACCTGGTGAATGTCTACCCAGTTTTTTAAGAGTTTAAAATAGGCAAAATGAAGACCCACCGCTTACTTCTGCCTTCGTTTCTCCAACTCAGATGGCTCATTATTTGATTCAATCCAGAATGAAATTCCCAGTATTTCAGACCTGTGTTTCTGTACTGACCAGCAAGCAAAGCTCTTAATTCTGTTCCAGTTTTTGTTTCAGACAATAGAGGAAGAAAAAGGCTGACAAGGACCAGTGAGCTCATGGCACCGGCCTATGTGAGCAGGGCTGCTGGGCTCTCTGAGTTACCATTCCCTCCACCCTGTGACAGACCTGGGCAGTCTCTGGGCAAGCTGGCTCCACTGGCTAGATTTCACTGTCCCTCCTTCCTCAAATCACTGAGTTAGACAGAGGCATGTTACTGAAACCCGTGGTCTACGCCATGGTCTCAGCTGGTGTCTACAACACCCCTTGTGTCTGATCTGTGAGAAGTGACCCTCCCACAGGCCTCGCTGGGGAGAAGTGTCAGTAGACAGACAGGAGGTCACATGACCCGCCCCTCTCTCCTCTCACTAATTCCCTCTTCTCTGCCTTCACTTGCCCTTCCCATTGGAAGCTGATCTGCCTTCAATGTTCTGAGAGCAGGCCAAGGGGAAGACAACACCCCTGTTCTCAGTCCACTGAATGCTGCTGAATGTCCTGACCTTGTGCTGACTCTCGGTGGCTCCTTAGGCCTGAGCCACCATGTCCTGGCTCCCAGAG